AAAGCGCACCATGGCATCGGACCTGGTTATCTCCGAGACCGCCTTCTGCCACAGATTGCCTCTCATCGGCCGGTACGCTCCCACAGAGAGGGTCTCCTCAGGGTGCCGTCAGCCAGACAGTGTCGGCTGGCGACCCCCAGGGGGAGGGCCTTCTCTGTTGGAGCCCCCTCCCTATGGAACGAATTACCCCCAGAGATCCAGGTCATTCCAGATCTCCCCTCCTTCCGCCGTGCCCTCAAGACATGGCTATTCCAGCTAGCGGGGCTGGCCTGAGGGGTATTTTAGATTGGATTTTAATTTGATTTTATATTGGGTGTTAACAAAATTTTAAATGAAACGGCAAAATTAATATTTCTTTTAATTATATTTTAAAATGGTGTTTGTAGGGTTTTTATCTGTTTTTAGCTTGCTGTAAGTCGCCCTGGGTCCACCAGGAGAAGGGCGGGGTATAAATCTAATAAATCTAAATCTAAATCTAATCTATTGTCTGCCATTTAAACTCCATTAGGGCTTTGTTCATTTGAATAGTTATATGTTGGAGAAAGTTGTATGCATTTAATTTCCAGAACTATTACTTCTTTTTCTATTATTTTAATTTGGTTTATTTTGTTTTATTTTATTTCTTATTTTGTATTCTATTCCACTAAAGGGCATTGCATACCAAAACAACTAGACACAAAGACAGTTTTTTTCCCTTGTGCCATCACTCTGCTGAACACCTAATTCCCACAGCACTGTCTTATGTCTAAGGATATTTACTCATGTAGTAAGGCTGTATTACTATTACCCTTCTCATCTTTCCTCTACCTTTTGCTATTGGTATCTTATGATTATTACTTTGTTGTTCGAATGTATACTGAGAGCTTAAGAACTGTTCTATTCTGTTCTGTTCTGTTCTGTTCTATTCTATTCACACAGATATGTATTCATATAGAAATATTTATTTTAATAATTAACTATTTGAAGTCCTCCAAGTGATCTTTTCTCTCCTTTCTAATTAGGCTTCTGATAATTACATAGCAGATGATCCATCCAGTGAAACTAGTAGAATTTCCAAGAATGAGTAAGATGCACAGAGTTGCAGCTTTGCACAGCAAGGAAAAAGGTGCAGTCCACTCATTTATTCCCTTTTTTAAAATAAATGCCTGGGTTGTTGTTGTTGTTTAAAAAAAGAGAGAAATCATTATAACAGCAGCTATCATTTTCCTTATTTAGATTTATCTAGCTAGCCAGCTATCAAATTCATACAATTATCTATTTCAAGAATGTGACTTTGGGTTATGTACAGTAAAAACAAAATAATAAAAACACTTGTTAAAATAACCATTAAAAAAACCAAACATGTAACAAGACCATGGAAGAATGTTTAAAAGGCATCTTGCAATCTCCCTGTCTCCAAAGATTACCAGGCATGCTGGAAAAACCATGTTTTAAGGGCTTTCCAGAAGGCCAGTAGGAATGGGATTAATCTCTCCACAGGGAATGGGGGATGATAGTCCAGAGGGCAGGAGCCACAGCAGCAGAAAAGTCTCTTGGGTCCCATCAGATGGAACCTTTAGGACTCATGACCCATAACATACTTCACTCCTGCCAGATTTGATGGGATGGGTATATGTAATTGGGAAGAGGCAGTTCCACATATAACCTGGTCCCAGGCCATGTAGGACTTTAAAAGTCAAAATCTGCACCTCAGATTGGACCTAGATGCAAACTGGCAGCCAATGTAGGCTGCAAATTAGAGGTACAGTATAACATGTGTTACCCTACGGGCATGCATAACTGCCTGCACTGCAGCATTAAGTACCCATTGAAACCTTTGAATACTCTTCAGGGGCAGCCCCATGTAGACCACATTACAACAGTCCATTCAGGAGGTGACCAAGGTGGGAATACCTGAGAGCAGAGCCTTCCAGTCCAGGAATGGGTGCAACTGGAGCACAACTCAAAGTTGCACGAAGGCCCTCCTAGCAACAACTGCCACCTGCACCATGTAGGATAGCAGAATAAAGTGACAATTTGCATAACTGGGAAGTCAGCTGTTTATCACACATTTATGTCTATTTTAATTTTGGCAAGCCTTGTAAATAAATAAATAAATAAAAACTAAGGGGAAAAAAGGATTTACAACATACTGTAGTCTCCCAATTTTGATTTTGGCCTGAAAAAATTGCAGGGTTCACTTACACATTTAGAGTACATATATACCTTCAAACCATGCCATTAAATTAGAACATTTCTAATCCAAAACACAAATTATAACAAAAAAACATTTGTAATCAGGATAAGGAACTGTTTGTCATGCTATAATTTTTAATTTATCTTTTGTCCAAATAATAAAAGATGTTTGTAGAAATACCCTGTACAAGTCATATCACTGATGTGTCTTTTGGGGTTAGGTTTATGACACATTCTGTCTTTGGTCCAACACAAAATGAACTTTTTTGACAAGAAGGATATTGATGGTGTATTATATGAACTGCTCAGGTCTCCATGGCTGCAGGCTCTTCTAAAGGTAAAATCTCTTCCAAAAACCAACAACTGCAAATTTTGTGTCTTCCCTTGGTTATTATGCACAGAAACAGACTTCTCTGCTTTTAAGAATTTCTAACTTTAACTATTTAATCATTGAATGGGCTGCAAAAACAAATGACAGAAGGCTTATTCCATTCTTACCTTCAGAAACAAATAATTATTACAGTTCCATAGTATAAACCCATTTTAATTTTTGCCTAACTCAAATTTTAGATACTAAACTACCTATGAATGGTTTGCTAGTAAACTAGAAATCAATTTCTTTTGCATTTCTTAAACCCATGTTTCCATGGTCTTACATGGAACAGTATTAAAATAAGACAACCTGATTCTCTGGTTTTCACTTCCTTTCCAACCTTTTACATTTATAAGGTTCAGTACCATAAATGTTTCTTAATGGCCATTGTTCCTATCATCTTATAACTAAAAAAAACTTTCTACTTTGCTTTACAAGTCATGCAAGAAGCATACTTTGGTAACAGTTTAGGACAGAGAACAGAATACATTTAAGTCACTTCAGTGCTCAATGCCAGTATACAGTATGTTGAAGAGGCATACTGTCAACTTTATGAGGTAGTCCAGATAAGAGGTACATCCAGAATTACTAACTCTAACTTTATTATAAGGTTACATTAACAGAAACTTGCAAGTCTGACAGTACATTTCTCCCTCCCCCACAACCTTTACAGTCCAATAAACTAGGAAATGTCCCTTCAAAGACTATTACTATGTCCCATTTCTTCTGCATGCTGAGCTCTTCTTATCTGACATTATCTAGTCCAGCGGTTCTCAACCTATGGGTCGCGACCCCATTTGGGGTCGATCGACTATTTCACGGGGGTCGCCAAGCAAGGCTGTCCGCCATTTTTTTTCCCCTTTTCCGGCGGGTGCCTTACCTCCCTTGGGCTGGGCCAGCTGGTGGTCGGCCTGCTCTGTCTCTGCCGCTTGCCAACTACGCCTTGGCCGGCGCAGGGGGCGGAACCACGCATGCATGGCGCTCCCGGGCAGGGAAAGTCCTCGACTTACGACCGGTTGGGTAGTCCTTGACTTACGACCGGTTTAGTCCTCGACTTACGACCAGTTTAGTCCTCGACTTACAACCGGTTTAGTCCTTGACTTACGACCGGTTGGGGGTCGCGGCATTAAAAAGGTTGAGAACCACTGATCTAGTCTGTGTTTCTTTCCCCAAAGATCATCCTCATATATCATTACACATATAAGTCTTGTAGAATTTGTACTGAGGAAAATTGGGCTTGAATCCTGGCCTATTCACATTGCTTTGTATGAGGAGAGAGTCGGGCGTTTGCATTATGTACCAAGTTTCTAATATTGTGACCTTGCATAGTGGCAGCAACATCTTAACTTCATCTCTTTCTAGGTGTATGAATGCCTTCATCAGTATATCAAGAGAAGACCTGTCCCATTCATGTCCCAGGCACAAGAATTGATGCATGAGGTAAGTTTGCTGGAGTTGAGATTAAGTGCAGTTTCCTTGATGCCTAGTTTTTGCTTTCAATACTACAAGTTCCACAGAAATAAAATAGCTTTGATTCGATGTTGACTCCTTGTAACTGCTTGGACTACTCCTTGCAGTTTTCTTGGCAAAATTCTTTTTCAGAAATGGGTTGCCCTTGCTTAGTTCTTAGGGCTAAAAGAAAGTTTACCTGCCTGAGGTCCCCCAACTGGCTTTGTGCCTAAGATGGAACTAGAACTCATGGTCTTCTGGTTTCTTAATCTTAACCACTGCACCAAATTGTCCTTTATGTTTTACATAATTGTATTTTATAAACGTCAACGTGCTATTTAAACAATAGTTTAAGTTAGATATTTTCAAAATGAAGTATGCTTCTCTTGTTCATAGGTAGTGGAGTTGCTGCATAGAGGACAACAACCTCCAGAAATTAAAGAGCTAAGACAACTTCTACAAGGTCCTCACTTCAAGGTGAATATTGGCCTCTGAAATTCTTCAGCATGGAAGAGAAATGTCTCTAGTAGAAGATCCTTTACTATTAAGATGCATTGTTGAAAGCTGAGTATTGGCACAGACCAATGATTTTATCACTTGAGATACATTAAGTGGTACTGGGAGCCATATTTCCCTGAAGAACATTTTAGTAAATAGAGCCCAATCTGGCTCCTTTTATTGGCTAGGGAAGAAACAGTTGCAAGAAGGGAAATTTGCCCTTCTTTTGCAAAAGGAACCCTCAATTATTACAGATTTTTCCCATGGGCCTGGAGAGCTGAACAGCAGCACACTCTGATCTTGTCATCTATGGAAACACTGGCCCCATCCATCCACAAAGCCTTTGGGAAACAGTTCAGCTTGCCTTCTTGTTGCCAATCTACCTTTTTCTATGAAAGGAGCTTTTGAGAAAGGAGAATACATAATTTTTCCATCTGCCTTTTAAAATTATACAGTTCTGTGCTTTCTACTTAATGTTTGAATGAGACTTAAGTACCGTATGTTTTGAAAAAAGCTTTTTCAAGCTCCATAAGTTGCAGAGTTAAAGTTGATTTGGAAGTGGCTATGAAGATCCATCATTCTCTGTTATAAAATGTGAGGGTCTCTTTTGACGCTACCAAAATCTTTTAGCACAAGGAATAGTGTTTTTTTTTCTAACACAAATCCATTGTATTGACATTTGAAAAAGGAAATGCTACATTAAGTATCTGGCTTCATATTCCAATTCAAGCGGTCTAATTATATTTGAAATTTGTGAGGTTTGTATGCTAGACCCCCCCCCCCCCAAAAAAAAAAAACCCTCAATTTTTTTTGGCTGAATGGACATACACACAGAAATAAAAATAAAAAATAATTGTTAGGTTGAAATTATCTTGTAACTTTTACATCCAAGCATCCCCATTAAAAATGACCTAGCATTTATTTACCCCATCTCTGTGTTTAATCTTTCTCACAGGCCTTGTTATTAGTTCATGATACTGTGGCCCAGAAGGATTTTGAACCTATGCTTCCACCCTTGACAGAAAACCTCCCTGAAAACGAAGAGGCCATGAGGATTGTCTGTCTGGTGAAAAACAACCAACCTCTTGTAATGTTCAATTTCACTTTAGTTTTAATTATATTCATTCAGTTTGTTTGCTGTGTTTCCATTTGTATTATATCTTCTTAGTCCTTCAGGGCATGGCAAGTTTACCACTCCACAGACTCTCACAGGGCAATTCTTATCCCTTCCCCATTCCTCCCATCTTAGAATTTTTATTTTACTCATTTATGTTTGTTTTAAAATATGAAAAAGTATAGGATACAACCATGATGTGTTGTTGAATTCACAAGAAGAAAATGTTTAAAAAGCAGTCTGCCCTATTTGATGTTTAGTGTAATTCTTTTTTGAGGAAAATATATTTATGGCTAGCATTTTGTGCCACTTATCTGAGACTAAGGCCACAGGTCCATCTAAGCACATCTAAGCAGACTTGCATAATGATTGTATCATTTGCTTATGTCACCTAAAGCAAAACCATTGGTTCCATGGAATAGGAAAAAAGAAAATTTATGGCAAACCAATCCCGTACAGATAGTCCTTGCTTAATGAACAGTCCCTCAGTGACTTTTCAGAATTGCCACAGACCCTTCAAAAGCTGCATACAACAGCTGCATACAACTGGGAAGTCACATGACTGCATTTTGGGCACTGGGCAACTGGATCATCTTTCTGGCCGGTTTGAATGTTCCATGGTTATGTGACCATGATTTATAACACTTTTTGCCAGTATTTGGCCTTTTGGGATTCTGGCAAAAACACCCATAAAAATACATGGATTCACTTAATAACCACAGTATTTGCTTATGGGCCATCACATTCACCTAACTGTGGCAATTGCTTAACAATCGCCATTAAAAAAAAATCAGTAAAATCAGATCCAGTCATGTGGGTGCCTCGACTTACAACCCACAAGGTGTTACAACTTACAAGAAGTTATGACAGAAATTCTGGGTTCCATTACAGTTGTAAGTGAAGAACTACCTGTATTGAAATTAACATTGAAAACAACATTGACGGACTCTAGTAAGTCCCCAGAATCAAGCTTAATTTTATGGCACACGAATGCAGGGAAGTACATGAAGTGGAAGCTATAATCTTAATATAGCTAACAGGCTGTAGACTTCCCATATACCACCACTCACCAAGTGTGTACCTTCTTCCCTTGTTATTCATTTGTTCAGTAGGAAGCAACTCTTCCTTTTCTTCCTCTTCCTCAGGGTGCCACCATTAAACGCCATGAGCTGACAGGTGATATTACAGTAGCAAGAGTAATCCATGGAGGTCTGGCAGATAAAAGTGGTAAGGTGAATTTAATACAACTAAAAGTTAAAAAAAATCACTGGGGAGGTGCAGGGACTAATTTTCAATACGTGCTTTAGAAAGTTCTGTATGGTTCTTGAATGTTCTGAACATGTTTCTTAGTGAAGGTATTCTCTAAATTGTTTTATTATGATTAAATTCCTTCTGCTTATCCCATATTTGCTTTTAGGAGGCAAGGATTGAGAGACAATATAATAGCACTTCTATTGGAGATTGTTTTCCACAGATGAGGAGATGCATTAGGCCAGCTCTAGCAGTCAGCTTGTTGTGCTCACCACAGTGCAAGGTCTCCTACTCCCTTCAGCTGCTCCCTCACCTGAGGACCAAAGTGGAGGGGGCAAGCTATTGAGCTGAAATCTGCTCTTCATCCTTAAAGATAACTCTGATTAAAATAAGGTTAGGATAGTCCAGGGGTAGGCAACCTTGGCTCTTTTATGACTCGTGGACTTCAACTCCCAGAATTCCATGCTGGCTCAGGAATTCTGGGAGTTGAAGTCCACGAGTCATAAAAGAGCCAAGGTTGCCTACCCCTGGGATAGTCAGACACAAATTGTCTGTAATGAAACATTTTAAATTCGGGATGGGGGCAATGGAATAAACTCTAGGTGTTCCTTAGAAATTCAGACTATTTTTCTTCTCCAATTCTTTGACCAATTGCTTAATATCATTACTGTTTTGTTGTAGGGTTGTTATATGCTGGAGACAAACTTGTAGAGGTAAATAGAATCCCAGTGGAGGGCCTGGAACCGGAGCAAGTCATACACATTTTGGTAATCACAATCAGCTTTCTATTCTTTAAATACCACTTAATGATACCATGTAAACAATGCAAAAGTGCATGCTTGGAACATAAAGTCATCCTTCAAAGTTATGATTTGAATGGCCTGAAGAAAAAAGCTATAAGGAGGGGATGAGCATTTTCTACCATTTTTCATAGATCCCTCACAACTGTGCAATGTAATGCCCACAGTTTGGCCAGCCCTATTTTCCCTCCTGCGGACTTTTGTTTTGACTGTACCAAAGAGCAAGGAGGGAAATATTCATATTTCTATTTTTGTAGGAAGTACTTTGTTTTCATTTCAAGGGGTGTGTGAATATTGTTCCCACCACTGCTACTTTCCCCATCTGTTGCTTCTGTCTGCTGCTTGGGGAAAAAGAGGAACCTTGTGGCAGTTCCCAAGCCATCAGAAGTAGGGACTGTGCAATCTAATTCCTTCGTCAGTTGCAACTAACAGGTGCTGCTTTGTTTTTTAAACATGTTTCCTTACCTTTGCACAATTTGTAAAGCTAAAATTTACAGATGGACAGGCATCTTCATATACTATACAGGTAGCCCTTGACGTACAACAATTCATTTAGTGACCGTTTTAAGTTACAATGGCACTGAAAAAAATGACTTATGGCCATTTTCCACACTTACAACCACTGCAGCATTCCCTTGATCCCGTGATCAAAATTTAAACACTTGGCAATTGATTCATATTTATGACGGTTGCAGTGTCCTGGGATCATGTGATCACTTTGTGTGATCTTCTGACAAGCAAAGTTAATGGGGAAGCCAGATTCACTTAACAACCATGTTGCTAACTTAACAACTGTGGCAAGAAAGGTCGTAAAATGGGGCAAAGCTCACTTAAGAACTATTGTTTAGCAACAGAAATTTTGGGCTCAATTGTGGTCATACGTCAAGGACTATCTGTATACCAATATCATCGTGGATTTTATACTTCCTGTCAAAAGGGATATCTTCTCATAGAATTATAAATGTATTGATGATCAAATTAAGTTTGCAACAAAAGTAGGCAAAGTGCATTAGATGCCTTTTTCTGAATTCTTGCAGACTCTGTCCCAAAGCACCATCATGTTCAAGCTGATTCCAGGTTCTGATCGAATCATCTGCAGTCAAACAACAGTAAGATGCAATGCATAGATTCATTTCCTTTCCTTCAAATGGTTAATACATGAATCCCTCAGAGTTAGCGTTTAGTTAGCATTAAGTTTCTTCATGAGGAGGTTTTGGCTTTAATTATTCTCAATAATCATGTTTATTGATTTGTTGGATCAGATCAAAGATCCACTTTATTTCCATAGTGATCAGTAAGATGCTACAAGTGAGATGTTAGGGCCCCTATTCCACAATAGCTAGTAACAATTGACAAGTACCTTGAAGGACTAATGTGATACCAATAGAGGTGAATATTTGAAACTCAAGGTTGAAATGAGGGTTCCTTGGTGTTCTCTGAGCTTGGTTTGGGGTTTTTTTGCACATGTTTTATTACCCAAAGTAGGTAGCATTATTGGTGCTAGTGCTAGGGCCAATATGAAACACTCCACCAAATTGTTGAGATATGTCAGACAGGAATAAGAACAGAAAAAAATAGTCTTCCATCATTGCCTAACCAAAACTGTCCTCAAAAACAAATTGCCTTGCCTGCAGACTGATCATTTCCTTTTACTGTGCAGCTTCTTACTTACCTAGCCCACTGACCTCCAAGATCATTTTATGTTCTTATTATTTATGTTCTTATTATTATGAATTAATATCTATTGCCATGTTTTGACTGCACTTATATCTTGGCTTTTCAAAGCTGACCTTTTGCTGTTTGCAGTTATTAAACTTTTACAAATGTATTTCCTTGTCTTTGGAGTGTAGCTTCTATGATTAAAAAGAAACCTTGCATGTTATCCTTCCAGCTCTATGTGCGTGCAATGCGGGATTACTGCCCTCGTCAGGACCCTCTCATTCCATGTGCTGATGCAGGATTGCCATTTAAAAAAGGAGAGATTCTTCAGATTGTAGACCAAAAGGACATCCTGTGGTGGCAGGCAAGGAAAGTCTCCAACCTCAAAGCCTGCGCTGGACTCATCCCTTCCAATCACCTTCTGAAGAGGTATGGAAAGTGGGGGTGTATTTATTTTTCCTAATGGGTAACATGTGGGGAACCAACTTATACAAGATGCCTCTATTAACATAGAGAAAATCAGTGTTAGCACCTGAGGCAGTTAAAATAGATCAAAATTCCAGGCAGGTTTTGTACATAATACATTGCTGAATTAAAATAGAAAATGTATCTATTTTCCCATGGCAGAAAAGGGTAAAAATAAGCAATCCTGGTGAATTAACTGAATAATGGTGAATTCTTCTTACATGGCAATGGGCAAAATCTAAAATCCCTTTGCAACAGTGGTCCTCTTCTTCCTATCTATAACTCCCTCAGACTTCCCAACCTGCCCTGCAAGAAAGGTAGCAGCTACATAAAAGTGGATCCTGTACATCTGTGCTTTGGAATAACAGCCTATAGTGGTTGATAATGTGCAAATAAAATTTGATGTGACATCATCATATGGGCTTGGCTTCCTGACCTTTAGGCAACTAGCACCTGTGTAGAGAATGCTTTATGACCTTTGCCCACTGGAAGGTTTTAATAGGCTGGACAGAATTAGACTCGTACTACAAAGGTCAAATTCTCCTAAGAGAGTCTTTTTCTCCTGTTCTCTTCAGTCTTTGAGCCAGTGAGTGAGTGAGTGAGTGAGATATATTTATGTATGTATGATTTATGTAGTTCAACGAAGAGAAGGACGAGGGGGTGAGATGATAGCAGTGTTCCAATATCTCAGGGGCTGCCCCAAAGAAGAGGGAGTCAAGCTATTCTCCAAAGCACCTGAAGGCAGGACAAGAAGCAAAGGATGGAAACTGATCAAGGAGAGAAACAACCTAGAACTAAGGAGAAACTTCCTGACAGTTAGAACAATTAACCAGTGGAACAACCTGCCTCCAGAAGCGGTGAATGCTCCAACACTGGAAGTTTTTAAGAAGAAACTGGACAGCCATTTGTCCGAAATGGTATAGGGTTTCCTGCCCGAGCAGGGGGTTGGACTAGATGACCTCCAAGGTCCCTTCCAACTTTATCATTATTATTATTATTATTATAGTTGCTTATCTCACACAAGTGACTCTGGACAGCTTAAGGATTAAAACAAATGAGCCCATCAAACATAACCCAACGATAAAACAATTAATCCTATTCACCATCAATAGTAGCAGTGTGCATCTACTATCTGACCCAATAACCTGGGAAAATAGCCATGTCTTCCATGTCTAATGAAAAGCCAACAGGGTTGAGCCATCCAAATCTCCAGGTGGGTGTTGGTTCAGAGGGCCAGGCTGCCACTAAGAGAGGATCAGGGCTAAATTTAGGGTAAGACCAAGTGGCACGGGCTTAGGGTGCCAACTGTTAGGGGGCACCAATACCATATTTCTTTCCAAATCAATGTAAAAATGCTAAACTTTGCATCAGTGAGAGGTGGCACCATCAATCAATGTGTCCTAGGGGTGTCATGTACCTTTGAGCCAGCACTGGTTAGGATGCTGAGGAAAACCAGGGAGAAATCAGCAAAAGAGAGCATTGCTCAAAGAAGGATTATAATCCTCTCTTCGTGAACTCTAATAAATTTGGGATGATGATGATGATTGGGATGATGATGATGGTGGTGGTGGTGGTGATGATGATGTAAAAAAGGAGGGGGAATGTATAATATATGGCTCTGTCAGCCAAATGTTTTAGAAGAGACAGTCTTCTTTTCTCCAGGAAAGAATTTCTCTTCTAAGGTTTGTGCCCTGGTTAAGAGCGTAGATGTAGTGGAAATACGGTTTTGAATTCCTCTCCAACCATGAAATTCATCATAAGACTATAGGAATCCCAAATTCTGTTGAAATCTTTTTCTAATTCTGTAATTTTAGAAAATGTTCCCTTCTTCTGTCTAGGAAACAGCGAGAATTCTGGTGGACTCAGCCCTTCCATCTCCACACTTGCGTCAAATCAATCTGTGAGTATAATAAATTTCTGACGATGAGGTGTGTGTGAACTGTTTCTGTAATTAATATTATTTCCTTACTCAATTATTTCTATAGAGTACAATTAGACTTCTTAGATTTAGGGCAAAAATGCTATAGTTTGAATTCCAAACCTGTATAATAATCCTGTCAGTCTAGAAACAGGATTCCTAAGAATATTTAGTCTTAAATACAGGGGAGTATTGTTGGGAAATCATTTACTATGCTTTAGTTTACAAAGGTATAAACGTTATCAGAATAATCTCTGTGTCATTGAATTATTCATTCATGTCTCTGATGATGTGTATATATTCTTTTTTTATGAATTTCCCATGAATAGTGAATTTTGTGGAAGAAGGTCAGTAATGCTAATTGGATTCCATAAACGTATATGTATATATGTCTATGTATGTACGAGTGTGTGTATATGTGTATATATGTCACATTAGCTAAGATCTCCAAACTAGTCCTACCTAATATTGTTAATCTCTCTTTGAGATATACTACTCAGAATCCTATAACAATGTTGGGATATAATTTGTCACATAATTGAATGGTCTCTGTTCAAATACAGGTAGTCTTCAAATTATGATCACAATTCAACCTGAAATTTCAGTTGCTAAGCAAGACAGTTGTTATGTGAGTTTTGCCCTATTTTAGGACCTTTCTTGCCACAATTATTAAGTGAACCACTGCTGTTGTTAAGTTAGCAACACGGTTGTTAAGTGAATCTGGCTTTCCCATTGAGCTTGCATGTCATTAGGGCACAAAAGGTGATTACACGATCCCTAAATGAACTAAATAAACTGTTGTTAAGTCAAGGGCTACCTGTATACCACTTGGAGGAATATTCTATGAATCTATGCTGTATCAAAAGTTCATTCTTTGCTATCTAAATGGTATATATGCAGTGGCAACCATATGATTTCAAAAGAATGAAGCACAATCCAAAAAGAGAAAAAAAATTCTTTTCGTATCATTTCCATGAATTCTATGACATGTATTTTTAAAAACTATATTCTTAAAAAACTTTCTACAGTCGGTATGGAGAGATTTCAGACTAACAGCTTCCACTCTGACTTTCAATAGAGATTTAAAATACATTAACTTAGAAGGTAATGCTTATGCCTTTTAATAAATTATGTTAGTCAGAAAAGATGCTGCCAGACTCCTTTGATTTTTTTTGTAACCCTACATTAACCAAGCTCTCTTCTGCAGTGTCCCGAATCTATTTTTGATCCCAATCTATTTTCTGCTAAACTCCTGTGTACTATATCTTAGTCATCTTTTCCCTGTCTATAATCCATTTTAATGTATGGGATCTCTGTGTGTATGTATGGGTGTGTGTGCACATGCATCTGTATTCCTGAACTGTATTTTATTAATACATGAACAAAATAAGTAACCTTGCTCTCTGTACATTAACTGTTTCATGGTGTCTTAACATTTCTGAAACTGATAAGAATGCATATTCAAATCCAAAATGTTGGTTTTAATAATAATTTTAAAGACGCATAACATAATTTCGTAACAGTTCAGAAACACATATCAAGCATGAAATTAAATGCTGACTCAAGCAGCTTTAGAAATACTATTTACAAAAAACAAAATGTAGGGATGTATTATCTTCTCTAGCCTTTTTGAGAGCAAATAGATCTGTCCTCCATATACAGGTAGTCCTTGCGTAATGATTGCCCTGTTTTGTGAGGTTATGATGGAGCTGAAAAAAATAACTTTATAACTGGTTCATGCACTTATGACCATCACAGCATCCTGTGGTCTGAGGTCACCATTTGCACACCTCATAACTAGCTTCCCAAAAGCAGAGTGAATGAAGAAGCCAGCAATCAAGTTGCCTGGTGCCATCATGTAGTACCTCACTTAACAATTGCAAAATGACTCACTTAACCATACTGGAAGTTAGGTTGTATGATCACTTAACAACTGTGTTGCTTAGCAATGGAGTTGCTGGTCCCAAATGTGGTTAAGCCAGGACTGAGTGTGTAATACACAATCACACATACCCACACAAACTGTGTGAAAATGTCTTTTTACAGCACTCTTGGACAATATTGTCTGTGAAATGAAGCAATCAAGCGGACCAAGTCATCCTTATGGTTCTTCCTTCAGTAGCTTCTTTATTCAGCCATAGGGTTGCATTTAGCAATACCAAGTTGGAAGTCTTCTTTGACAACAAGATTCCCTCTTGCTGTCTTCCTCCTGCACCATTCTGTCCATCCCTCTGCTCTGATGCTTCCACTGAAAGAGATCAAGGGAACAGAGGGCAAGATAGCTCACCTGTTCTAGAAATGGAGAAGCTGAGATTGACTTATGATTGTAGAGATTGAACGAGGTTTTATAACTACCTCAGGAAAAACAGACCCCACTGCAAGGAGGCATCAATCATCTTCTTTAACCATTGGAGCTACTATAATCCCATCCAGGCTCATGTAGTCAATAACTGTTCTGGTTTTTCCTTCAACATCTAGGTGAAAGTGCAAAAAAAAAAAAAAAAAAAAAGCAATGAGGGCAGAGTAGTTAATGTATTCTGCTCCTTTCAGTGTTGGAGATTTCAAATGGGTACTCTGATGAGCCTCATTTTGTTTTTTATCTTTTCCACTTATATTCCAACTGATGGCCACCAGAATACAGTAATCTTTGCTTTAGTCAAAAGAAAAGCATTGTAGAATGTTGTACGTCATTGTACTATATGAAATAGTAGATAAAATAGGATAAAAACAGCCATGGGGTAGATATTGTTTCTATCTTTATATGAGTTCTCTGAACTCATATATGAACTCATATATTTTCTTTCTCTTGTCTACAATATACAAGAAGATGACATGCAGATTGATGAGAAGTGTGTAGAAACAGGTAATCACTTCTAGTTTTGATGCATGGAAATTATGTCTTTCATTATTGCAGTTTAAATTAGTCAAAATCCCAATGTGTGTAACCCAGAGGCCAAAAAGAGAACCCATTTGTAGAAGAAATTGAACAAAATGACCTCTAGCAACAATGCAAAATGTTAAAATTATGTGTATGTTGATAGAGCTATAATCAGAGGCATAAGTGCAGTCATATCAACTGTTGCTTAAGCTAGAGAGAATCATTATTGTAGAAGTCTGCATTTGTGTAGCCTGGTAATGCAGTTCCTTCCTTAGACATACTTGATGTTGAATTTAGAGAGGTCACTATTTGCCACATTTTGACCTAATTCATGGAGCCATGTCCTGCAGCTTTTCTTCTGGCTTTTTTTTTTTTAACCATGAACCCAATTTATGGAAAATTGAAAACATTAAAACTTGTTAAAATAACGAACTAAAAAATTGCCTTTCCGATTTTATTCTAGATTTATTTTTTCAATTTTAGATCATAACACTAAAACTTAATGAAAACATTATCAACGTGTTTCTTAAGAGAACTCGATTATTATTTCGGTAAAACCATTTGTGTCAGGACAAAAAGTACAACGTTATTTTTTATAATAACCAAAGCCTATGCCATATTGTTAATCCCAACAAGATTTACACTGTCTGCAGAATGCAATTCAATCTGAAATAAGAAATGTGGAGGAAGTGAATTACGTCTCCCCTCCTCCCAGATGCCTTTGCCGTCATCCAGTTTGGAACCCATTCCACAGCACAAATGCTTTTAAATAAACTCCAGAATCAGTCATGGATTTGCCCCATAGATGTGTAATTTGGTGTTACAAAAGGAGATTACAAGAGGATACTGTATAAGCATCTCATTATATCTTCCTATTGCTTCTGCAATGGGAAATCCTTTCTGATGTGTTGGTTTGTGATTATGTTTGACAAAGGTAGCTCTAAAGTAAAATTATTTTGCTATTTCTGCTCCCTGGATGACTTTAAAAGATGAGGAGATTTTTGAATCTGGTAAGTTCCTGCAATGTCCTTTGCTAATGATAAGAATCTCAGAATTATGTAACATAAATGCTCCATTTTTGTACCTGTATTATATATGCATGTTTATAATAGACATTTTCTGAACCTGTCTGGGTATTTTTATAACCAAGTCTAGCAAATGTGAAACAAATTGGCTTCTTTGTCCAAATAATCATCCAACCTAAATTACAGTAAAAACTGTAGTGCTATGCAAGAGACAGAGAAGACAGCTGGAAGCTAATGAGATTATACTGCATAAGCGTAACTGACTGGCTAATCTATTATTCTTGATGATGAAGGAGTATTCATGTTGATGCTTCCCTATCAGGGTATTTTTGTATGTTAAAATCAGAAATAGTACAGATCAGAAGTATATCTGTCTGCTCACTAAGAAATTACTTAAAATAATTGCAAATATTAGTAATATTATGTTACCTTTTAAAATAAATTCTTTAAAAAGCAACTGCTTTTCTGCTGTGAATCCTCTCTTGAAGGTTTTTTCCTTCAGATTGTGCAAATAAATTGAAGTGATGTATTTCAGTCATTCTTGTGGATTTCCAGAGTTTGAGTACAAAACCCTCCAGAATGCTATTGTTGTTGTTGTTAGTTGCGAAGTCATGTCCGACCCATCGCGACCCCATGGACAATGTTCCTCCAGGCCTTCCTGTCCTCTACCATCTTCTGGAGTCCATTTAAGCTCACACCTACTGCTTCAGTGACTCCATCCAGCCACCTCATTCTCTGTCGTCCCCTTCTTCTATTGCCCTCAATCTTTCCCAGCATTAGGCCCTTCTCCAGTGAGTCCTTCCTTCTCATTAGGTAGCCAAAGTACTTGAGTTTCAACTTCAGGATCTGGCCTTCTAAAGAGCAGTCAGGGTTTATCTCCTCTAGGACTGACCGGTTTGAACGCCTTGCAGTCCAGGGGACTCTCAGGAGTCTTCTCCAGCACCATAGTTCAAAGGCCTCAATTCTTTGGCGCTCAGCCTTTCTTATGGTCCAACTTTCACAGCCATACATTGCAATGGGAAAACCAGGGCCTAGACTATACGTACTTTTGTTGGCAGGGTGATGTCTCTGCTTTTCAGTATGCTGTCTAGATTTGCCATAGCAAGGAGCAAGCGTCTTTTAATTTCTTGGCTGCAGTCCCCATCTGTGGTGATCTTGGAGCCCAGGAAGATAAAATCTGTCACTACTTCCATTTCTTCCCCATCTATTTGCCAGGAATTGAGAGGGCCAGATGCCATGATTTTGGTTTTCTTAATGTTGAGTTTCAAGCCAACTTTTGCACTCTCCTTCTTCACCCGCATCAAGAGGCTCTTTAGTTCCTCTTCACTTTCTGCCATTAGAGTGGTATACATATACATAGAATGCTATACATGAAGGCAAATCTAAATTTCTTACAACCTTTGAAATGCCAGAAGATTCAAATTGCTTTAGTTGGGCTAAGAAATTATTAAATGGATCCAATTTTAAAAGACTCGTGGTGAAAGTTAAGATAAAAGGACTGACAGTAATGGAGTTATTTTTTAAACAAGCAGACCAAGGGCAAAGAATGAGATGAAATCTGGAAATGCATCTGACAGATGTAGATTGAGAATGTCTGCTTGGGCTGATGTTGAAGCTGTGTCTGAAGTCATGGCGAAACCAAAGGTGGATGCAATATTGCAAGCTTTTGAGTTTCAGAAACCCTTCATCAAACCGATTAGAAAAAGAAATAGGGAAGAGTTTTGGAGTGATTGATTGTAGAGCCACGTCTGCACTAGGTTGTTGTGATTAGACAGAGACCTTCAAACATGTAAATGGGGGTCTTGGCAAGGGCAAAGTCCCCTGGTTGCATGTCTGAAGATATTCTATTCTTAGAAGTTACATGTAACTCTACAGTATAATAGACACGGCTGCATGATCAAAACTTTCCCCTCTTGGGCTCTCTCTTTTCCTCTGCTACTGAATTTAGGCAAACTGAATTCTTCCAACTCAAAGCTGATACTGATTTTGTGCAATTCTGCCAATAAAAAAAAATTAGACATATCTAAAATATAAGAGTACCGATAACGACGATGATCTAAAACAGAAACGAGAAACATGTTTAACGGCTGAAATACGACCAGACTAGTATGGTTTATTAGACATACGAATATAGTGCTCACCGAACTTGAGAAAATTAGACTCGAAAGAATAGGAAGGTAAAATACGTTGCATTGTCTCCTTGAATTAGAAGGTAATTTATCTTTTTATTTTATAGACATTATATTATGGGCAACTGATCACTTCATGAAAAAGGTCAGTCAAGACATCCTGCTAAAAATATTTGTGGCTTATGTACATTGATTAATTAATGTGCTCCTCCAAGCAAAGACAAATGAATATATGCAGTTAACTTACTCTATTAGATGGACATTAAGATATGCTTGACAATGAAACCCTATTTGATCATTTATGAAGTAAGCAACTATCCTGAATGTAGAATTCTTCAAAGGTGCTGAATGCTACACTTCTTTTAATATATCAAGAAGATTTCTTGCTATGTTCATTAATTAGAGAGTGAAGACATTAGAATGGAAACCCTTAGAATATGCTAAACTCTTTCCATCTTGGCATATTTGATATGAAGTTAGAACAGCCTTCCCAGCTAGTTTTATTTGCTATATGCTGTGCAAAGAAATCAAATATAGACAGTCCTCACTTAGTGACTGCCTTGAACAGTGACCGTTCACAATTATGACGGTAATGAAATAATAACTTTGTGACCAATCCTTGCATTGATTACCTTTGCAGGTCTGTAAAACAAAGGAAAGCTGAAGTAAAATCATAGGCACAGTTGCGGTTCCAATTGTGATCACTAAACAGGGACTACATGTAATAGATAAATCTCTCCACTACCCAGAAAAGGCAGAAATCATATGATTATTCAACTTTCTGGGCATGCCTGCTCACCTCCAAGTCATTTCTAGTTTTCATTCAGGGCAATTTATGGAGATTGAATCTCTATAGAGAAAGAATATTAATAAACAAAGCTCTATAACAGCAAATAAGCTAATAAACCAACAGGCAGTTTTAATCGTTATGGAACTGGTACCTTTATGGCTTTGGAAATCAGCTAAGAAAAATCATACTTTACTGCCTTTTTCCCCACTTCCTTTCCAAATTCAACTGCTGCCTTTAGTCTTTGAATCCACATTTATTAAACTAATTTTATAAACATGCTTACTGCAAATGGATCCTGCATAGTGTGTTTCATATAGGTTGATTCAATGTATACTTTCAAAAACTATTATTCACCATGAATAACAAACCTAAACAAGAATCCAAAGAGGGTGTTATCTTAATTTGATATCACAGAATAATTTGACAATATTTTAAAAATCAAATACTTAAGTTTTATAGTTGAAGGACCTCTGTTGCTTCCACCTTTTTTTTAAAGGCCTGTTTTGAATGCTGAGTCTTTTCCTTTTCCTTGTAATATTACAAATTAAAATTATATTTCTTGTATATGAAAGTCTTAAGGATATTGCTACATTTCTTATTCTTTATTTTGTATTTCTTAATTCTCATTTCAGAAGAAGAAGAATTCATTGGATCTGGTCAGCCAGTGTTCATTAGTACGTAGCTAGTTCTGAGACTGGAGAATTGTGTTCAGGGTCACTGGGCTACTAAATAGTTTGTATCTGATGCACTGCATTGGTGCTTTCTTCTTGACTACAGTAATGTATTCCTTTACTTTGCTATTGCTACATAGGCTTCAAACAAGCCAAATGAAGTACTGTTTTGAAGTGCTGCATATCCACCTCTGACTTCACCTCTAATTGTCACAGCTCCTTCCTATGAATAAAAAGTTTGTGACTAACAGTTTAGTTAGAAAGACATATGAGTTCAAGGGGAGCCACTGATAAATCAAGAGAATTTTATTACTGGTTGGTTTCTAAAATAAATGCAATGAAAATGGGAAAACTGTCAAGTTAGAACCATTGAAAAATACATTAGTTGCATTGCTTGATTGTAGTTAGATAAACATAATGGAGGCCAGGGACTCTGAAAAACCAAAAGAAGCAGACAAATGCAGTATTAGAATTTCAGTCTTTTAGTTAGCATCAAATGGTCCTAAAATAAGCATTCCTTGTGAGGTTGGTAATAGCCATGGACAGATGGCTTGCTTGTGTTGCATATTTCTGTTGTTTCAAAATCAAAGGAAGAAAGGAAGGATAGTTTTAGCCGGAAAAAAAAAATCAGGCAATAGACAGACTGTTCAAATGAATGACTGAGGATGAGGGATAGATTTGCTAAACAAAGGGGTTTAGACAAGACTTATAGACAATTGCTTGAACCATGGCCTTGACCTCACTGAAATGGTAATCTTCTGCTGCCCTTTCCCCATAGGGGCTCTCCTAAGCTAAGTCACTTGGTGCTAACAGAGAACTACAATTAGGCTTTTGCACATCAGTTTTTTTTATCTGGATCAACCGGTGCTTACTCAAAGCTACTTTGTTAACAATATGCAATTTTTATGATGTTGGGAGTCTGTGTTTTCATAGAAGTTTAATTCCATTACACTTGTCGAAATAAACAACAAAATTCAACAACATCCACTTACAACATAGCAAATGGAAACTTCCATGATTGAATGATCATGTGTAAACCTTCCCCCGCAGAAAGGTTTATTAGTATAAAAAAAACCAGTCGTTGGCAAAATATAACTCTCAAGTATATGTGGCTTCTTTCCAACAATAAAAATATTTAACATCTAACATTTTGCAACCCATTCATAGTACCAAAAATCTGCTGCCTTAATCTGCCACAACCTATTCTACTTAATACACCAAAGTAGCAAACATGGTACTGTGTTCCTTGTCTCTTCCAGAGAATCTGTTTCTTTGCCGTTAACCAAATGGAGGGGATAAGGAAAATTTTGGGATCTTAGGGAGGATAAGAAATTCAAAACTTTGGAATGAACTCTGGAAGGGAACAACTGAAATGCCTCAAATATTACAGGGTAGCCCTGTGGTTCAATGATCAGTTTCTAAAGAGCTCTATCTATCTCCATTTTCCAGCTGGTTTCCGGAGAAGTATGCGTCTGTGCCGTAGGAAATGCAACTACAGTCACCTGACATGTCACACACATTGTCTCAATAGTTGCTATGGTGCTGTGGCAGCACCTTATGAAGAGGCAGTGAGATACCAAAGACAACTTGGTGATCGAAATAGATTAATTGTACTAATAGGTAAGTTGCAACAATTAAAAGTGACTATTGTGGCAAAAAAAAAGAATGCATAAAAGAGAGAAAGCTTGCATTAGTTCAAGGAAAAATAATTTCATCATAGTACACATATTTTTTCTAAAAATGCAAATATATTGCATCTTTGTAGGACTGGGTGCTCATGATTCAGTGAGAAAACTTTGATTTGTATTCCTTAGTCTATGTTTCTTCTATGGAAAATGTCATTATTTTATTGTATGTAATTAGGTGGTATAGGATTTTTATTCAGTCCATTTTTATTCAATCATGTCTTTCATTAAATACTTAGGTCCTTCAGGTGTTGGAGTGAATGAACTACGGAGACAACTTATTGGTATAAATCCTCACCTGTTTCAAAATGCGGTGCCACGTATGTGATATTTTAAATCTTAAAACATACTAATGGAAGGAAATGAAACATTAGAATTTCACTAATTGTGGCGTGCGTATTAGCTTTTCATTATTTATAGTTACCACTGACTTTTCCCCAAATTAAGAGAGGATCCCAAATAAGCAGCCCAATATAACATTAAGTACTTAGCTTTTCATTAAAGTCTGTTCCAGTAACTATTTAAAAGTATTGCAATAGCCATAATTTGTACTTTTTAAAAATAGATACAACCCGTGCTCAAAAGAGCTATGAAGAGAATGGTCGAGAATATCATTATGTACCAAAAGAAACATTTGAAAATATGGTGTACAATTACAGGTAATTTATTTTTAGATTGACATTTTTTGTTTTTCTTTCATCAAATTTGAAAATTCTGTGCCCAGATACCAGGATAGCTGGGCAGCAGAGTTAAAAATCTATTTCTGCTAGTTTTCCTATTTGACAAATAAAAATGTCATTTTATACACAAAATATTAATTAATTAATTAATGTTGTACTAGCAGTCACTGTGGTAAACATGTAGTAAGAAAGGCAAGCTATTCCGTTGGTTGATTGCTCTCACCATTAAGACATTTCTCCTTGGTTCTAGGTTGCTTCTCTCCTTGGTTAGTTTCCAACCATTGTTTCTTGTCTTGCCTTTTGGTGCTTTAGAAAATAGTTTCATCCCCTCATCTTTGCAGGAGCCCTTCAAATATTGGAAAATGCATTGATGGAAGGGAACCTTTAAATAATCCAGGGATTGTCTGTTTCTTCCCTAAACAAATAAATCACCTTCCCTTATATGTTTTAGTGTCTCACAATAGAAACCCAGGAATTTGCTACAGGGTTCATTGGAAAGGATTCTTTATCTCACCTTGTTGAAAACACAATGATTTGCATACTTCTCTCCTTCAATCAATCATTAAATAAACCTCCAATCTGCATTAAATGTGGGGCTTGGTTTTTTTTTAAAAAAGCAAGCAAAAGTAGTGTACGTTTGCAGTAGAAAGAAGAGGGCTGTTATCTTACATCTCTCTGATATACATATATGCACATATAACAGGGGATGCTGCAATAAGTGAGGTAGAAAAAAATGACAGCATTGACTCCAAGTAAGAGCACGGCAGGACTTTTCTTATCTCCCTAAATACATAACCCCAGACTGCTGCCCCTTCATATTCTGCTTGCATGCTTTCTCCTGGCATTATTAAAAAGATATTCAGTACTTAGCCTCTTTTACAGTTCTTGCTTTGAAACATGCTCATCTTCCTCCTAACTTGCCACATTTGCAGAATGTTGGAGTATGGAGAGTACAAGGGACACCTCTATGGGACAAGTATGGATGCAGTACATGCGGTGCTTGATGAAGGGAAGATCTGCATAATGGATTTAGAACCTTACGTGAGTCATAGAAAACCCATAATGTTGAAGATTTAAGCAATCAATCTTGAGTCTGCCCTGAAACATTTTTTTTGGGTGCCTTCAAGTCAACGTTGACTCTGGCAATTGCTTGTTTGTTGGATAGTTTTTCTAAATACATTTTGTGCAGACATTAATTGGGTAAATAAATATATACTGTCAATGTCAGGAATAGAATAGAAATAATAATGTTTAAATATATTAAGAAAATATTCATTGATTGTAACATAATTAGAATTAATAGTTTATGAACAAAATACGGGCTAGAAATTATTAGTGATACCATTTTTGTCACAGATATTCTGGAATTATTATAAATTATAAAACCAGTCCTATTAAGTTGACACATTAAATTACTTCTGAATTATAGGTGTTATCTTTTAATCATTTTTAAAAATTTTAATACAAAAATTGGGCAGAATAAATATAATTTGCATGATTTTTTAAATTTTTTTTATTTTGCAGAATATTCAGTTTGTTCGTACTCTTGAACTGAAACCCTACATTATATTTATTAAACCACCAAGTGTGAGCTGCATGAAGCACACTCGGAAAAATGCTAGGATAATCACTGACTATTATGTGAACATGAAATTTAAGGTAAGATTTGAGAGGAGGGAAATTAGCAATGAGATTTACATGGCTTTAGCTTAGCTATACTCACTACTTTGATTTCTGGGTGAAAATACTGTCATTTCACCATTATAAAGGGAAAGTAATTGCAATACTGAATTATTACTTTAACAAGTAAGCATGAATTCAGAATAATGCATTGATTTTAAGAAATTTTGACTTGATTTTGTTGTATAACATATCAAAATCAGCATACGAGCCTTTCTCATTTGCCTAACCCTAAGCAACTATTTTCTCTGCTATGTTCTCCTAATCCTCCAAAGTGAAATCATGTTTTCTTTTATTGACAGCTTTGTATCAATCTGACATGCTTCACCAACCGTTGGTCCAGTAAGGTGACCTTTAGGAAATGAGATTACCGCAGTGTTTATAGGTAGTCCTTGCTTTACATTGGTAATTACATTGGTAATTCCTTCACTAAAGAATGCGGTCATAAAGGGCGGCATATGACTGGGCCAATTTACAGAGGTAGCTACAGCAATCCCAGTTGCCATTGGTAGGCGAATCCCACAGTCATAGCATCCCACAGTCATGTGTTCACTTGACTGCTGCCAGCTTCCCTATACACTTCACTTGTTGGAAGCCAACAGTGAAGGTCACAAATGGCAATCCTATTACCACAGGATGCTGTGACTGTTGTGATAGCAAGCCAGTTGCCAAGCACCTGAACTGTGATCCATGATAACAGGGACATTGCAATGGCTGCCAACAGTAAGGATCTGCTGAAGGTCTCCCTTATTCAGCAATGTTGTAACTTTGAACAGTTGCTGACAGAATGGCTGTTCAATGAGGACTACCTAAACTGGCCATTTTAGGCTGGTGCAGCCATACTACCTCCCCTCCAGTCTCTGAGCACCATCCAGGGCTATTCAGTTTCAGGCAGCAAAATAGTCTACTTTTACTACTTCTTGCACATGCCATGTCTCTGGGTCAATCTGCAGCTTGAAACCTGGACTAGCCTGAACAGTGTCCAATTAGGGATTCTAGGATAGGGGCTACATAGGGTTAGCTCCTACCACACGGCTTCCCAGCTTAACTTTCCTCATATCCATCAGTTGTCAAGGCTGCTGTTCAACACAGGCTTAGCAGTCTCCCATAATAGCATAAAATCCAGGTCTGAAAGAAACTCAACTATCAGTTGATAATTAGGCTCTCTTTGAACATATTGACACTTGCACAAAATCAGAGTGACTTTTAACAGCCTGCCAGTAGAAGCATCTGGTCACTGCTTGCCTCTTGCCCCAACACTAGTCCAGGTTTAGGGGGAAGATTGATATATGTTTTTCACTAGCTGGTAACTTTCAATGGAAGGGGAGGGGGAAATGTATAGGATCCACCAATCCCTACTCTTAACATGAACTGTTTCCTGTATATGCATTCCAAACAAATGACAGCATTATTTACCAACATTGGGCCTATATAACAGGATTGGTATTATCAATGAGATATTTTTCGGTTCCCTCAAGATCTTGCAGTAGCCCTTTAACTAACCATGAGGAGGAGGCCTGTATCTCTTTGCATCCCTTTGAGTATGAATTTGAGAGTTCATCTCTAAAGTCAAAGAACAACAGGTCTGGATTGTTATTAAATACAAAGATTTCTTTTCTTTATCCACTTGAGAGTACTTTGATTCCAATTCCATTGATGGCTTTCAAGTCCTTCGTTCTCTTTTATGGGAATCAAAATCAGGAACTGTTTTCTAGGCGGTGCTCAATAATAAGTTAGTCTATGATGGCATCAAAAAAAAAGAAGCAAACTGGATTTCTTTCATGATGTGTAAACAAACTGTGGCTCTAAATTGTCTTCCTTCCTATATTCATGCCTGCTAGCAAGAAAATACAAGATGGAGAAATGAAGCAGTAGGTACAACTATGCCAGCTCATTATTTATTGTGATCTCCCTCCTTCCAGGAAGAAGACCTGCAGGAAATGGAAGAGTCAGCTAAAAAAATGGAAACTCAGTTTGGCCAATTCTTTGATCAAGTGATTGTGAATGACAATTTACAGGAAGCTTGTCTGCAGCTAGTCTCTGCCGTGCACCAAGCCCAGAATGAACCACAGTGGGTTCCAGCCACATGGATATGCCCAAGCTCTCAGGACTAGCCTGTTTCATGGGATGATAGTGTGTGCAAAATCTAGCATTCTGGGGAAGATCAGTCCAGCCATTGTGGGGAGGGACACTACTTTTCTGGCAATAAACGTTTTGGAACTTTCATTGGGTTTTAAGGCTGGGGTTGCAGGAGATATAAACATATTTCATTTCAAGGGAATTTGAAGAACATAAACAAAAGCTATTACAAGGTACAAGTCTATTGGCTGCATTTGCCTGTCACTTAAGCTAGGGCCTAGGCTATATTAATTTTTTTAAAAGAATAACTTTATGGAGGCACCCATTTCTGGGAATAGGCCAGGTGTTAACATGGTAGGATCATTTCCTTCTTTCCTTTCCATCCATGACAGACACTCCAGGGAACGTTAATGCAAGCCTGCCTGCAGAAAACCTTAAAAAGCTAAGAACTAGATCTCCCCTGTATTAAACTATGAACAGAGCAACATAGTTTATTTTAATTCCTTCCCAATTCATTGAGGCAGGCAAATAAAGAGATTCATATATTCCAAACCAGGATTATGATTCATTATGCCCCAAGGAGCCAAGATTTATAAATCAGCATTAATTCTTGGTTAATATTAAGTCATAATACACGATTTACTGTGTCATAAATGCAGCCACACTTATGGGGCATTTTTCAGCATTATATATTAAGTAATTCTGAAACAAATACCATTCTAATAACATAATCAGAGATTATATAATTGTTTAAAAATATGTAATTTTTGATATTTTTTTCCTTCTTAAGCATAGGAGGTATTGAGAGAATTGCCGCAGTTTTTGACCTATTTTTTTTATTTACAGCACATTCCTCCAACAAGAATGAAATCTGGGTTCTTTTTAGCTTTCACTGAACAGCATATTTCTAGCAGCAAAGTAGTATCATAATTACTGTGATATTCTTTAAATTTTCTCCAGCACCCTCTACCTTTGATAGCAAAAGGCACCATTTTTAAAAAGATTTGAAGTGCAGATTACTGCACCTTGTCCTTTAAATGTTAGGAAAAGTGTGTTAGTTCAAAATGATTAAGTAGGAGATCTATGTTTAAAATTAATATAATTATAATTAACTTTATATTATGAAGGGTGAGGTTTTGGGGAACATGTAACTTCTCAAATTCAATCTATAATTAGGGCTTCAAACTTGATTTATTACACCACATTGTTTAAGATATATAGTGATTTTCAGTAAACCAGTGACCCTTAGTGACAAAACACTAAAATATTAGCTATATTTAATTTCTTATACATTTTTAATGGACTGTTAATATTGTTTTGGTAATTTGTTTCATTTTGTTGGATTAGTTTTAAGTAAACCTCCAAACCTAAAAGCAACATATAAAGAAAACATAAATGTCAATCAGAAGGTTTAAATCATCTTGAAAACTCTTAAAAGATGGTTGTTCAACAAGTCTTGAGGATCAATATCAACTTTGCCTGTCATCTTAGATTTTATATGGTTTATAATGAGTATTATGATGTGGTTTTATTGCTTTTATTTTTGTAGGTTTAGGAACTGCCTAGAAATGTCAATCCTGGTAATATACTAGTAATGGAAAATAAATAAAAAGTAAACAAGTGCTTTAGTCTGCTCAGTTGTACATCCTTTCTTCCACCCAGGCTATAAGGTTTTTAGAATTTTTCTTTTCAGAAAAAAATACTGTATTTTAATTACAATGGTTTATATCAGCGGCTCCTAACCTTTTCTATACCCCGCTCCCCTAGAACGCTTCTGATACATTCTCGCACACCTTACAAAAGTTCAAAATAATTATGCATATACACTATAATTTTGAAAACCCAAGTTTTCGCACCCCTTGGAATATTGTCTTGCACCCCCAGGTGGTGCGAGCACCCCTGATTGGGAACCCCTGGTTTATATCATATTGCTTACTAGCCACCTTGGAAGGACAGTTGTTTTGAAAGTCAGGTTATCAAATATTTTCATAAACATATAAAAGTACCATTATTTCATTACAAATTTTACAATTCCTGGCAAACAAAGCCATAAAATTGAGAGATTGGTAATTCAGTACATCTGTGGTATTATATTGGGGGAGGGTGGTTTGAAACACAATTCAGAATATTTAGGATTCTCTTAAATTGGGATAATTCCTAGATAGATTTATTCTTAGAATTTACAGTGCAATTCTACCCCCATCTAGAATGCAGTTTCAGTAATTCAGTGAGTTTTTTCCTCAGCTGTACAAAGTATTGTGGTCTCCATATTCAGAAGTGTCCTGAACTCACATGAAAATATATCTGCATTAATCACTGAGGTTGAATTTTTTTTGGAAATGAGTGCTTACAATGGCCTTTTATTTTTAAAAATAAGCTTGTGCATAAGCTGCCATTAGGTCGATGAGAAAGGAACATAAGCAATAAATATAAATATAAAATTGATTTAACACAGATGTGTAGTAAAAGACAAAGAAATATATAACTTCAAATTACTTTGTCCAGCGCACATTCTACCAGGAGAGTGACGCCCATCCAGTTTGCCAATATTTCACCTAACAAAATATTTGTATTTTCCTTAATAAAGTTTACTCAATGGTCTTCAGGTGATTTGACATTCTAAATATAAGTCATCAGCAAATCCAAAATTGTCAGATTAGCTAAAACACTTTTTTAAAAAAAAGATTACGTCTAAACTTGTTGAAGTTCGATATAATTATATTATTGCACGTAAAGCCAAAGATAGTCATGTGTACCGTGTGGTCTTCAACAGCTTCATTTTGTCAGAGGGAATAATTAATAATAATAATAATAATAATAATAATAATAATAATAATAATAATAATAATAATAATAATAAAGTTGGAAGGGACCTTGGAGGTCATCGAGTCCAACCCCCTGCCCAGGCAGGAACCCTACACCATTTCAGACAAACGGCTGTCCAGTCTCTTCTTAAAAACTTCCAGTGTTGGAGCATTCACCACTTCTGGAGGCA